ACCGCTTCCCACAGTAGTGTTTCCGCAGCTGATATTGGAAGAGTCCATTTTATTCCATACTACATACAGAGAATTGCCATGTATTGCCTTAACGCAACTATTATTTTATAACAGTTTGGTGTTTTCATAGCGCCTTTCCCTCAAATCCTGAGCAGCTTTCATGTTATCCACCCACTATCCAAAGATGACATCAACCTCTGAAGACAGGTTTGTTGCGTTGTTTTTTTTCTGCTGTGGCAGAAAACATTTTTCCACAAAAGTTTGCACAGAAAACATTTTAGCATTAAAACGAAGTAACATGGTCTTACTATTGTACTTACTACCTTTCATACAACATATTACAGCATTGGTCTTTTAACTATTTTGTGTTTACACCACCTGTTAACCATGCTTGATCAAAGAAAACAAAAGCTGGGACTGGAAACATAATCCATAAACCCATGCCCAATACTGGCCTTACCAAAGAAGTTCTACAAACGTCCTCAGAAAGCAGCCAACTGTTCTCAGTAAGGCGAGCCCTCGCTCCATTACGCTCACTTTGCTTTAGGGCAGAAATTCATGAAGTCAATAATACTCACAGAAGGTAAATCATCCTAGTGCCACAATGCATGTTCAACTTGCTTGACCTTCCCCATGAGCTTGCTGTTTACCATCCAAGTTTCTTCATGCAGTGTCGTTCCAAACTCCTGTATCGCCATGCAAGTGCTCCTCGTCCTTTGACTCATGAAGGACAGCTGTCACTACAGTTGCCAGTTTGTGATTTACATGTCCAACACTGGTATTTTCAGCTGTAATATTTATTTTAAGATATCAGTTATTTCTGCTTTTAAACACCAAAACATTTTTGTCACTGAATTCACTAAATAGTTTTGAAATAAGTAATCTAAAGTAAACTCTGAATTCTGCTTTTGATTATATGGTTCTACGCTGCAATAATTAAATGAACTACCAAACAGGCAGAAATACTGTGCAAGTTACATTGTTAATAGTTTAAACATGCAGATAAAATGTTTTACAAAAATTCTAATATGAGTTTTCCCTAGCAAAGAAAGTCACCAATTTAAAAAAGCAGAGAAGTTTCTCAAAACAAAAAGAAGGAAAATTAAGTATGTCACTAATTTTAAGCTAATTTAATTAGCTCAAAGGTTCGTTGTTTTCTTGAGATGCCGATTCTGAACATAAAAGGTGTAAATATATACTCAGGGAAATTAAATCCTCCTTAGACAAATAGTTAATGTCATAATGGGCACAATGGACTGGAAGGAACGGGGGTGGGGAACAAAAAAAAACAGCAAAAAAAACAAACAACAACACAAAAAAATTACTTGTCTGAGATTAATCCAGGTAAGCCTTGTGTCTTCATAGCCACCACCAGTCTATAAATTTTTCTATAAATCTAAAATTTGAAGTCATTAACAGATTTGGGGGGGCGGGAGCAAAATAAGTCCTCTTGGACAGGAATCAAGACCTAAGTACTTACTAAAAACTTTTGTCTATTGAATTTTATCTCCATACAGAACAGATTATTTAACCCTTGCTGTAGCCGAAAACATTTGGGTATTGACATTCTGAATAGACTAATGAAAAAGGTACCGAAAAACTCACCAGGATTTCCTTTGTATGCAATACCATGCTGACTTAATAAATCTTTAAGTTTGTTTATTTCTTTAGAAAGTTGCTTGTATTCCTAAGAAAGAAAATACATTTTAAATGGCTCTCCCACTCTCCAAATGCATACATAAAGTGGGAGTTTAACAAAAATAATGGGTTTGTGCACAGCTCTTACAGCTTTTGACTTAAAAGATATTACAGATAAACTGCTTATTCCAAGAACAAGGTGCAAATTTTATAAAAATATATATTTCTGTGTTGCCAATAAAGGAGCCAGCTTTTTCCAAATCTGAGTGTAAAAATTTTTCTAACTATTTTGGATCTATTCCTAACTAGCATTTTATCATAGCACAAAATTGCATTTTTAAGTCTGCTAAGGGACCAGCCTTTTTTTATTTTATATCATAATGCGACAGTCTGGAAATTTGTCACCTCCTCAACTCTTTACCTAGTAACTTCATGTTCTCACTTTCCGCAGTTTCTGTTAACTTACAGAGCCAGGGATTGCTTAGCACTTTTGAGACTTAAACCACGTATCTGAAATCTCGAAGCAGCCCAAATTTTTTATCATGTTTTGTTTTTTACACGAATCAAGAAAGAGTGGAAGATTAACTATTTAGATTCTGTGGTTACCAAAACAGGCAACTTTATGTCATTTAAGCTATGATGAAGCCAGAAAAAGAAGTACAAATTTTTAAATACTGTATTGTTAACTATCAAAACAAAAAATAGAATACTCCAGCTCCTAACATTACCACATCAAAATGGTGATCTTTAGAATATATAAGCTTAACCACAGTTTATTTGGTTATATTCAGGAATTACTACATGGTGTTTTGTCTTTGCTACATTTTCAAATAAAATGACAACAGCAGCTTCTTCTCTGCATTATAATGAACTAATTATCTTCCATGCTCTTTTTCTGATGTTCAGCTTGCACTTGTATAGGCTAAGCACACCTTCCTTTATTTTCCCCATTGCAATTCCGTTGCAGAGGACTATTCACATACATGAAAGTCCCTCAGAAACGCAGAAGAGAAGACTCAGGGGAGACATTCCAGCAGCCTTCCAGTACTTAAACAGTACGTAAAGTACTACAAGAAAGCTGGAGAGAGACTTTTTGCAAGGGTGTGTAGTGGCAGGACAAGGGGTGGCTTTAAACTGAAAGAGGGGAGATTTCGGTTAGATATAAGGAAGAAATTCTTCCCTCTGAGGGTGGTGAAGCACTGGAACAGGTTGCCCAGAGAAGCTGTGGCTGCCCCATCCTTGGACGTGTTCAAGGCCAAGTTGGATGAGGCTTTGGGCAACCTGGTGTAGTGGAGGGTGCCCCTGCCTGTGGCAGGGGAGTTGGAACTAGATGATCTCTAAGATCCCTTCCAACCTAAACCATTCCATGATTTTATGTGCCTTCTGTTTTGTGTCAGAAAAATGCATTCTGACACAAATTTGAATTATCCACAGAGGGAATCACAGAATCATAGAATGAACACGCAACCTGTTCCAGCGCATCGCCACCCTCACAGTGAAGAATTTCTTCCTTAGATCTAAACAAATCTACCCTCTTTTAGTTTAAAGACATTGCCCCTTGTCCTGTCACTACAAGTCCTTGTAAAAAGTCCCTCTCCGGCTTTCTTGTAGGCCCCCTTTAAGTACTGGAAAGCTGCTGTACAGTCTCCCCAGAGCCTTCTCTTCTCCAGGCTGAACAACCCCAACTCTATCAGCCTGTCTTCATAGCAGAGGTGCTCCAGCCCTCAGATCATCTTCGTCACCCTCCTCTAGACTTGCTCCAACAGGTCCATGTCTTTCTTATGTTGGGGGCCCCAAGAGCTGAAAGCAGTACTCCAGGCTGAGGTCTCATGAGAAAAGAGCAAAGGGGCAGAATCACTTCCCTTGACCTGCTGGCCATGCTTCTCTGGATGCAGCCCAGGACACGGTTGGCTTTCTGGGCTGCAAGTGCACATTGCCGGCTCATGTTGAGCTTCTCATCAACCAACACCTCCAAGTCCTTCTCCTCAGGGCTGCTCTCAATACATTCTCTGCCCAGCCTGTACTTGTGCTTGGGCTTGCCCCAACCCATGTGCAAGACTGTGCACTTGGCCTTGTTGAACTTCATGAGGTTCACACTGGCCCACCTTTCCAGCCTGTCAAGGTCCCTCTGGATAGCATTCCTTCCCTCTAGTGTGTCAAGCACACCACACATTTGGTGGTGTTAGCAAACTTGCTGAGGGTGTGCTTCATCTCCCTGTCTATATTCTGACAAAGACGTTAAATAATACTAGTTCCAGTATCAACTCTTGAGGAATGCCACTCGTCACTGGCCACCACTTGGTCACTGAGCCGCTGACTGTAACTTTTTCAGCGTGACCATCCAGTCAATTCCTTATCCAGTGAGTGGTCCATCTGTCAGATCCACATCTCTCCAATTTAGAGACAAGGATGTTGTGTGGGACAGTGTCAAATGCTTTGCACAAGTCCAGGTAGGTAGATGACATCAGTTGCTCTTCCCTTATCCACTAAGGCTGCAACTCTGTCGTAGAAGGCCACCAAGTGTGTCAGGCACAGTCTGCCCTTAGTGAAGCCAATGTTGGCTGTCACCAATCACCTCCTTTTTCCCCATGTGCCTTAGCATAGTTTCCAGGAGGATCTGCTCCATGATCTTGCCAGGCACAGAGGTGAGACTGACTGACCTGTAGTTCACCGAGTCTTCCTTTTTCTCCCTTTTTAAAAATGGGGGCTATGTTTCCCCTTTTCCAGTCGGTGACGACTTCACCAGCCTGCCGAACTTCTCAAATATGATGAATAGTGGTTTAGCAACTTCCTCTGCCAGTTCCCTCACGACCTGCGGATGCATCTTGTGCACCTTCAGGTTCCTTAGACAGTTTTGAACCTGATCTTCTCCTACAGTGGGTGGTTCTTCATTGTCCCAGTCCCTGTCTCTGCCTTCTGCGACTTGGGCAGTGTGGCTAGAGCACTGGCCACTGAAGACTGAGGCATAAAAGTCATTGAGTACCTCAAAGAAGTGTCAACATTCCCAAGGATGGTTACACATTTATTTTCACTAGTAATTCCTTCCTATTTCTAGACTGGTAGTCCCCAGAAAGAGCACTTAAAAGGTGTTCATAACTCAAGCACCTACACTAATTCTGACATACTTCCCCGTCTTCTTATTGGGCATTCAGTTGTACCAGTTCATTTTTGACTTAAGGGCTAAAATCAAGACATCAAATCACTGTATGCAGACTGTCACATATTGAATCCAGAAAAGATAATCTCTTGAACAGATTTCATCTGAATCCGAAGAGTATTTACGTTACGCTGTCACACTGATACTGTCATACAGTAAAAAGGTGGCAATTTAATTTCACTTTGTTAATATTACACTCTATACCTTACTGCACTTCTCCACTGTTTCAAATTCCGGACTTATTTTCTTATTCTGTTTCTCAATTTCCTTTCCTTCTGTTGCTTTTAGAAGTCCTGCTTCCTCAAAAATCTCTTTCAGTATTTTTTTGTATCCCTAAAAAAGAAAGTTTCCAAAAGACAACAGATCAATTCACCCAACTCTCATTTCTGCTTGTAATTTGCACTGGCTATTCCAAATCATCAAGTTTAACTGTAGAAAACATTACAACTACCAGTTGATATAACAATTACAGAGCACAAAAACTACTATTTGCCAACTGCAGAATAAACACATCCATTCCAAAAGGAGAAACTGCAGCAGCCATGTTTGGCTATTTGACAGTAATTGTTCTTTACCAAATAGAGCTGGAAGAAATCAACAAACCTGGTCAGTTATTAGTTCATCAAACAGAAGCTGTTCTGCTTCATCCCACTTCCTTTGTAACGCTTCAGTCAGAGTCGGATAAACTGAAAAATGGAAGTTAAACCATGTAAAAAGCAACAGCACTGTCTTGCATTAGTTAAATGCTCCTCTAGTAGCATGCAAGCATATTTGTTTTTACAGTACATAGTCTCTACTGCTTTCAAGAGCTGAGATTAAACTTAAATTCTGTTTCACACATTTAAAGTTTCTGGAAAATGTCACTGACCAAAAATTTTTCTCTTATTTCCAGCTAGAAGGCCTCATATTTGTTTGCTGAATGTACTCCTGAGCTCTCCCTTTCTGTAATGCAAGTAAACGAGCAGATGCTACAGGACTGATTCCTATAACCAGTCCAAGAAAAAATAAAAATAAAAATCACTCACCGGGTCTATACTAACAATGACAATTTATTTGAGAAATACCAATGTATTATAATGACTGGGATTTAAAATACATCTTGTTACATGTTACATTTAATACTCAATTTATATCAAGTTACAAACTCGAAGAACCTAAAAATTTACATTCTGAGGTTGGCGGAATAGGTCAGCTGCTCCACACACAAACTATTTTCTAAATCTTACCTAAAAGAGCATGGGGATGGCACACGAGAGGAGTCTCAAATGTCAGAGAGTAAACACAAGTAGTTGGCTCAGACACATAAGCCAATTTATTGCTCTTTCCACAAACGAGATGAACCTAAACATCAATAGAAACAAAGATGAGTGAAACACCTTCATATGAAACAGGACCAGCATTGATCACCGATTTGCTGTCTTCCAATGCTAGAAGATGCATTTCTATACATACTGTCATGTCAAAGCTTTCAGTGCTGTCACTACCAGAAAAAAAAGATCACAGCAAGCACATCTTAGAATCACAGAAGGGTTTGGTTTGGAAGGGACTTCAAAGATCATCTAGATCCAATCCCCCTGCCATGGGCAGGGACACCTTCCACTACACCAGGTTGCTCAAAGCTCCATCCAACCTGGCCCTGAACACTTCCAGGGATGGAGCATCCACAGCTTCTCTGGGAAAACCTATTCCAAATCTTCAAATTATTTTATCAAATGTGAAAATTCCTTCCTCTAATGGGAAACTATCCCACCACCTATCGTTGTTCCTTGGACTCCCAAGCACCATATTTCCAGCAAGAATGAGAGTAAAAAGGAGGGTAATAGGACACCTTTCAGAACCTCATCTGACATGAGCATAATTCACTCAACAAATTTTAGTTCTGACCAATGTGCTAAATAAAGAGAACAATACACATCTAGCCTGTAGAAATTTGGTTTCATCTTTTTTAAACATGCAGCACCAGTATTTTCTGTCTGTTCAAAATGAAATGCCAGTGAAAGATTTGAATCACAATACCAAAGATAACACAGGAACAGTAATTCCTTCTGCAGCCCCTATGGGAAATAAAGATGTTAACAAGGCACCTCCATGACAGTACAGAGTATTTTAAACTTGACCAAGATATTTTGTCCCTTATCTGATCTTCAATTAGTTATTATTCCAGCTATATATCCTCTCTCTTGAGTATTGTATTGTCACCCATCATGATAATAGCTAAGCATCTTCTACACGAAAAGCAGCCTGTTGTGAACTATATGGTATCTTTAACTCTTCTTCACAATAGTGATCTACGTTATCAGGAAATGTGAGGTTTAATTCACTGTATCTGTAAAACCGTATAACACACTGAAACGGTAGGTGGAAAAAGAAAAACATTAATGAATAAAAGGATAAAGGACGCGTGCAAATCATGTGCCACACACTGGGCAAGTCTCAGAACACCCCTCCTTATCCTTCTAGTTGAACAGTTACTTGGCACAGAGACTGAATGTGAAAAGGAACATTTTAACCACTCCACAAAATAAGAATTTATACTTTTTCTTTAAAATGTACTCACACCAGAATCCGTTTCTCTTGCCTTGGTTCCTCTGCCACTCCCATATAAATGATTCCTTAATTCTCTTTCCATGCCCTCTGTTTTAACACCTTCCTTGGCTTCTTGGCATGCTGTTGTTAACTACCTAATTCTTTTCCCTTCTTTTTCCTGGATGTTCTTAGCACAATAGGCTGGCATCTTGAATCCAACAAATAGCTCTTTTTTATTATTTTTCCTGACACAAATTACAAAGTGCTCTATGTTTCTACAGTAGCGATAATACCACTAATCAAGGAAAAAAAAAAAGAGTTAAAAGTAACCAGTGAGAATACATAAGTACACTTCTTCAAAATTTTATCCTGATTTTAGCTTCCCTCCTCTATCCACTCACCTAGCTCCAATAGGAATTCATCTTTATGTTTTATATCACATCTTAAATAATGACTTCTTCAAGGTGCGAATGATTCAGTCTGTAGAGTGTCATGAGTGTGTGTAGAGAGTCATGCTATCTGAATTAGCATAGTCTAGGTTATTATACCTTTGTCTGTCTGCTCTTAGTTTCACATGAGTCTCCTTCCCTCATCCACATTCCAACAAATGTGTTGTTTTCAATTTCCCATTCATGCCAGATTCTGAAAAAACAGGACATCATTTTATTTCAAGTTACTGGAACAAAAAAGGTGAACACTCAGAAAGAAAAAACAGGAATACCCTTAAACCATGTACAATTTAACTGTATGTACTTTATTTTTGTTGCCTTAGTGTTTCCATTTCTTACAGTCAAGACCTTACAAACAGTGTAGTTTGTCATCCAGGCTGCTACATAGGGCACATCGATGTTACTTTGAGAGCACAGTTTTGGATCAGCTTTCAGTTTGCAAACCATCTACACTTACAAATCTGGGTTTAAATGCAATAAAATACAGCTTATTGATCAATCCCACAACAAATTCCATTATGCTAAGTACCCTGCAACTCAGATTGCAGGATTTTAGTGCTGGTGAGAGCACCTACAAAAACTAGTCTCTACTTCTGCTAGTCCTATAGCCAATGATAATCTCAGCATCTTGATGTATTCTTTTCCTCTCATATTGGCTCACTAATTATTGTGCACATAGGAAAAAAAGAGACATCTATATACAAAGTATTTAGAAAGGCAGTAATTTTAAGCAGTGCTCTGGTTTCTAAGTAAATTTATTTTAGCTCTTATGATTTGGACACTTCAGAGCCTTTGAATATTTTGGGATACTTTTTTGAGTCTACATAGATTATTTTATTACCTTTTATCAAATACGTTTAACATAACCACTAGGCATAAAGCACTCATTTCATTTTGTAAGGGTATATTCAACTCAAAGTGAAAACAGTTAACAGACATGAAATCTTTGTTAATATAGGCTATACTTATACATCACTGGATTTCTCACCTGAACAGATCACACTTGCAGTTGGCACCGGTTATTAATCAGCCTCCAGCTAAAACAGGAGGTTAGTATTTATCAATAAAAATATCGGCATTTTTCAAGACAGGGTATTTTTACGCGTAATACCTTGTGAACTACAATGACCTAAGCTGACTAATTAAAGAATCTTAATTCTAAAACTGCCTCCTTCTTGACAATCTATAAAATGGTCTGCTAACAACACAGGTAAAACTTAAAGGTCTAAAAGCCTCACCCTAAAATCCCACTATAGGCATTCCATCGAAAAGTCTGCTCATGCTGAGTGACATTATGGAAAGGACAAAACTCATACTTGTACCTTAAAAAAAAAGAAAAGAAACAAAGAAATGTTTCAGACTGAAATAAAAACCTAGTTCGTTCCTAATAAATATAGAATCAAATATCCAAATCCATTACTCACGTGGATTCCACAAAACTGAAACACCTGCCAGCAAGCCTAAAGAGATGTGCAGGGCCTAAAAACACCACAAAATGACATCAAGGAAGAATGTTTTGGTTAAATTTAAGCAAGTTACTATGGTGGCAAAACTGCAAGGAGAATGTGGCAATTTAGTTTTCTGTTGTACATAAGGAAATTTGTACCTTCCATAGGGATTACTGTAAATTCCCAGTAGTGCTATACCCGTTTGCATAATAGTATTTAAAATTTTTCATCTTCAATACTCAGTAAACTAGGTAAGCCTCTTTCTACAACAGAAATAGGTAACTTGTATACGAACAAATATTTGGAGGCCAGATCCATAAAAGGAATCATCAGTGCAGATCTTGCCAAAATGTAACATTGAAATCACTAGAACTCTTGCTTGGCAGCTATCTGTCCTCAAAGTCATCTAAACTCCTCAAGTTTATACTAGTAAAGCCCATTTGCTCAGAATTTCGAGAGTGCTGCACATTTAAGTTTCACTGGGATTCTCTAACCAGATATTCCTTTTCACAGCCTGCCTTCATAGTTTGATCCAGTTAGTATTCAACAAGACAAAACTTCTATTGTCAGACAGGTCAGCAGTTACAATTCTACTCTTGTAGAATTGCCCATTCCAGCCTTGCTGTCAAACGAATCCAAGACAGATAACTTGTCATTCAAAAAAAGGCCAAAAGTTCTGAACTATGTGCTACAGAAGTATTTCAGTATCCCTTGTTTAAGTTAATGATCAAATATTTGTGAGAAGAAAAGAGATTACAAAGCAAATAAAATAAAACCCCATCCTGGATTCTAATTCCCCACTGGCAGGATTGCCAATGTCCTTCTTCCAAAGATCTAGACCAGTAGTCCCCGAAACAAAGATTAGACCATTGGAATCATGTCACCCAGAACGCCCAAACCACTAGGATACAAGCAAGTTCTCTTTCCCATGTGATTTTTTCTGAGTGTATGATCTTGCATTTCATTCTACAGCCTATCATAGGCTTGGCCAAAGGGTTTGCCCCTCTACTGCGTACAATCTGTGCCTTACTGATCAGGATGTTCTCCCCCCAGAGGAAAAAGAGCAAATTTGAATGTCCCTGAGGAATGCATTAAACTCGTGCCTCCATTTCCTGAGCAGATGCTCTAAAAGAGAAATTACAGGAACTAGTCCTCCTACTGTCTTGCAGAAGAAAAGAATGAGCAAGGTTTCCATGCTAAAGATATAACTGTGCAAGACAGGATTCCATGCCCTAGATTCCAGTTCCACAGACACTCCTGATTTTTGGCCACACATAAGTTCCCACATCCAGGAAAGAAGGATTTCTAGGGTACTGTCCTTTTAACTTTTTGCCTGCTTTTTTTGGCATCTTTCCATTCAGCATTCTAACTATTACTAATCCCATTTCTAACTATTTCACTTTTTCACATGCAGTACATGCAAGATTTCTACATTAGATTTGGATTTATAAAACATGACAGAAAACATTAAGCATAATCATGTTCAATGTCACCCTACCAAAATACCCTTATTGAACCTGAACAAGGCTTAAGTCTGTATCTAAAGGTAGCAGAGACACAAGAGTTATTTCCTTCTGCTTACTCTTTGCATTTAGTGTTTATTTTAACTACTACTCTCCTTATATGGTCCAGATTTTTTTTGATGTCTGTTTATTTTGCTGAAGTGATGGATCTACATTGCAGCACTCAGGCTTTATGTGTGAAACTGAGCCTCTGTGACTTGTTGCAAGATTACTCTTAAGACTTTTTTAAAACAATTTTTGTGTATTAAATACTATCAGATGACAAGATGACTTTTACATGACAATCTCAAGGATGCCAGGGATTTTTGTTTCAAGAGTAAAAAAGTTTCTGGTAAGGACCAGAAGGATCTGTGACTAGATCAAAAAAACACACAATAAAACATATAGATAAGCACTGCGACAAAAGCAGTTCAAACAGCACTGGAACACGGAACACTAAAAAGGTTAATCTAGGTTTTAACCCTTCAGAAGCACAACAAAATATATTTGCTCATGCTTATTTTCCATGATGCTCATAAAACGACAAGTAAAATTAGTATGTCTGTATAAAGTCAAGGCAGACTGTTTTGCAAACGACTGTCACTAAATGATGACAACTGTACAAAAAAAGTAACGCTTGCATGTACCTGATATTGTAGACGGGGACATCTTTGGCTGCAGCCTATTTGTCTGAGGCAAGAACGGGTTATTCAACCTTTCAAAAGAAGGAAAGTTAAACGTTTAAAAGTGGGTAACGCACCTGGCCATGGTTATACCCGACCCGTCCCGAGCGGCACAACACCTGCAGCCACGCACGACGCGCCGGGAGCGGCGGCCCCGCCCGCGGCCCACCGATGGGGTCAGCAGAAGCGCCCCGGCCCGATCGGGTCCGCCCTTCCCGGGGGAACGGGCTGGAGCGGGCGGAGCGGCACAGGATCCCGAGCCCGCCCAGTCGGGCGCGTCGCGGGACACGGCGAGTGGGCGGCCACGTACCCGAACGTGTTCGGCTCTTCCACGATCTTCATCTTCCCCGCCCAGGCGAAGA